TTAAATATGAATATAATTTAATTAACTTCTTTAAAATTTATTTATATGTATATACAGAGTAATACTTAAGTAAATAAAAATATTTTAAAGTGTAAAATCACTCATATTATGCAAATAAATAATCAATAATCGAGTCAAAAGTTTCTAGATTAAATGTAATGAGTAAGATTTATCTGTTATTATTATTGTAGGATTATCTGAATATGTATAATATATTATTATTTAGATAAAAATAATATTAAATTATATGTATATAAATAAAGAAAACAGAAATTTTATGAAAATAAGGATTTTGTTAAAATATATAAAAATTTAGTTAGATAATAATTTATTAGACTGAAAATAATTTTTTTTTTGGATTATTAAAATAGTTATTCAAAAATCTCCAGCATGATGAGCAATATTATAAAAAATTTTGTATTTTAGCAATCAGTCTGAATTCTCTAAAATCTTTGGAGTGGAATCTAATTCTAAAGTGACAATTGATGAAAAAGAGTGACTCAGTTGTTAATTTTTAGGAATCAGATTTCACTCTTTAGAATTAGATTCCAATATAAAAATTTTAGAAAGTACATAATTATTTTGATGATCCAACAAAATCATTTTCAGATTTAGCTAAATGTTTAGATACTTCAGCAAAATCTTTTCCATGTAGAAATATAAATATTTTACTAAATATTTTATAAATATTTTATTAAAAAGCTTTATTCATTTATTAATACTTCAATAGGTGTATGGACGGTCGGGAACATTGGGAGAGAACAAGGTTCGATATGGATAGCTCTTGTCACATCATATCTGTTTTATCCGACCTTATATTACATCGCCGACGATACCATGTGGATCTTCCTCATGGTGGTTACCTCGAGTCTCAGCTTCGACACTTTCAGCAAGCAATGGCGGCTAAAACCGAAAAAAAGAAGAAGCTTCTTCCGACGTATAGCCTGCTTAGGCTTAGCTCTCATGCTCTACTTCGCCGTAATCGGTAGCTACTTATACTTCAACGCGGTTATTACGGATAGCGAAGGCGAGGAGATCAAACTGTCGGAAGCGGTGCAACATTTTCTCACTTCGCCAATTTGGACAGATCTCAAGGTGAGTCTACAATAAATCTTTTGAATTTTTAACTCTTCAAAGTTAACGATGGACCTATTGAATTCACTCAATTATATTTTTTATCCGCAAATTTCAATTATTATTATTAAAATAAGTTTAGCATTTATTCTTTTCTATGCAAATCATGTCTTTGGTTCCTTGCAACTGATTAGTGCCTTTTGAACATAAATTAAATGGATTTCATAGATCCAGCAGATTTTGACTTTAAAGGGTAAGCAGTAAATTTCTTGAGATTTGAGAAATCTCTTTCATGATGTTCTTTATTTTACAGGCGAGTTTGGAAGCGACGTGGAACCAGGCGAGACATCAAGGCTTCTGGGCAACGTGGGCGCAACTGGTGGACCTCACGGATCCTCGAGGCGAGATAAATGCCTACAAGGTCGGTTCTTTATAAAATTTTATTAGATTTGGAATTCAAATTTACTTACAAAGAAGTAACTTAAGAATGTATAGAATCAGATGTATATAGTCAACAAAAAGCGAGTAAAATGAGAAATTTATACTTTTATAAAAGTTGATGTTATATACGTATGAAATAGTTCAATAAGATCAATACTTTTATTTTACAATACAATTTTTTATAGTTTTAATAATTTTCTCATTTTTATCTTAATTATTTTTTTAAAACGTTATTTTTTATTAAATTCTTTTTATCCAAGCTTGCCGTCAAACTTTTTTATATTACCTTTATATTATTTTTATACAAAATGGAAAAATTTGTAATTCTTTTATAATTTTTTCATAATTTTTTGTTTAAAAAATACGCATAAGAAATCCTTAACATTTTCTCATTCTCCGCAGATCCTGGGTCTCTCACAAACCGCTTCGCAGAACGAAGTCACGGCACGATGGAGAAGTCTATCCAGGGATAATCATCCTGACAAGGTTAAAGGTTCAGAGGAGGAAAGGCGCAAGGCTCAAGAAAAATTCATGGAAATCCAACAGGCGTATGAAATCCTGTCTCAAGCGAAGAATCGCCGGCAACGACGAAATCGTCGTTCTGAGAAATGAGCGTACTTTTGATTCAAAGGATTAATAAAAAACAAAGACTCGACAAAAGAATCTCCAAATACGCCAATCTCTGTGTTTCAACTATGTATAATCAAAAGACAGTAACTTTATTAATAAGATTAATAAGACATTTATTTAAACAACCATCTGACAGTAACTGCATCGATATAAAATCTTGTACGTAAAACGCATGTATTATAAGTTAGGGGGAGGCCTGCGACACATTAATCGCAAGTCCATTCGATTATCTTTAACTTTAATCGGTAAGAAACCCCTGAAGCTTCGCTTCGGCGCGTGCTTCAAGTTAAGCTCATATCAGATTAGAGATTAAGATTGAATTAAAATTTGATCAATCAAAACAAAGTTCACTAAACTTGATATAATTTTCTTTCTTCTAATTAGTTAAAACCCAATCCAATCATAATTTCAATTTCTAGTCTGATACGAGTATTACACATTCACGTTTCCTGGAAAAAATCGAGATTCCATTTACCGAGGTTGGGAAAGAGGTAACTTTCACTATCACGATTAACGCGATCTCTCGATTGTAACTTTGCGATCTTCTATCTCTAAATCGCCTTTGCGCGCACGCAGCAAACCTTGTTTCGTCACATCTCGCGCGCAATCCATTATAAATCTAAACTAAAAATAAGATTCGACCGTTCCAATGTTTATGCGTCCGACCATGGCGGCTGTTTACATCGAAAACAATCTCGAATACGAGGACTATAAACATAACTTCAACGGCAGCTGCCGACTGGATCGTGGTTGAATCGGGAACGATCGAAGTTTCGAAGGTCCTCCCTTTTGATCTCGCAAAACGTCCTTTCGGGTGAAATGCATCGCTAATATTTTTTGGCGAGGTAAAAACGAACAACCTACGATCTACTTGAAGCACCGCGGCTCCGAACGATCGGCCAGGCAACAGCGGAATCGGATAATATGTAAATGATCTCAAATGGATCATAAATACTCTGTCCATCTCGCTGCTTTATGTCAAACAGACTCGATTAAACCTTTCAATCTCCACTCGCGTGTGTTCAATGCCAAACGGACGACTAAACGCGGCCCGTAATTTTAATCGCGAAAGCTTTACATTCGACTACTTGCTCTTCTTCTTCGAGCGTGGCGGCTTTGCCATGGAGTTCTCGATCTTATCCGTAAAATTTGTCCCGTACTTTTCAGACGTTTTCTCCAGAAAATCCTGCTGCGAAACCAACGTCACCCTGAAAAATAGCACAAATTTTTATTTTCTCTTTTGAGTTTACGTTTACTTTAGAATTAAAATTATCGAACGTGATTTAAAGAAAATATCCAATTAATATTTTAATGTTATCTATTTCTTCTTGAGGCTGCTTGTAATTTTCTACTAAACGTCAAAGACATTGCAAAGTTTGTACTCATTGAAAAATGTGATTACAAAGTATTGATCGGCATGACTCAGAAAGTTTTAGTTCTTTGATGAAAGTCACACCTTAATTGGGGCACGCTCAACGGTCGCAGAAGACTTTTCACAACAGGTGACGGCTTCGGCAAAGCCGGACTGCTCGCGCACAGAGCCGCACTGGTGAGCTGTGACACCAGAGAGAAGGTTCGATCAGGGCTGGAGGTGGTGCGGAAGACTTTTCTTATTTTCGACTTTAGTCCCGAGGGTTGCGGCAAAGGCGTTGAAGGTATAGGCGTCACCTGGCATAGTTTGTAAGGATTACGTCTTTCAAACTCCGAAAGAAATCCGATTAAGAGGAGACTTGACATATCGCGCTATTTACCTTTCCTTGTAATACTTTCGCAGCGAGCTCGGGCTCGCTACCCCAACGACAGGACGTCGTTCTCTCTAACAGACGATGTCTCGCGAACCTTTCAATCATCTCGGCGCATACGTACCTGCCGCAAAACCTCGCCCATTGCTCAGCTCTTAGGCCTCTACCGTGATCACGTAGTGTGGGATTTGCACCTAGGAATTCACGAAAATAATTTTCAGGCAGCGTAGATGATAAATTTTAAGAAATATTTCGTGATGCTTTGTAATCATATTTTTTATAATATCATAAAATGAAGTAACTTTTTATTTTAATATTGCCCAGAAGATATGTATATCAAAATCAGGATATAAAATATCTCAAAAATTCGAAGGACAATTTAAATTAAAACTTCTTATGTCTTGATAACGAACATAAGTGCTTTCAAGACATTTTTTTTAATTAAGCAAAAGTTATTCCATTTTACGATTAAAAAAATTTGATTTTTATTAATTGAATGTTAGAATGTTGGATTTATTTATTATTTTAGATTAATATTTATTGTATTTCATTTTATTATATTATATATTATATTAGATTATATTATCTAACATTATTATTTAAAGTAAATTAGAATTAATTATAATATTATATTGAATCACTTATTTGTGTGTCAGCTATACAGATTTATTATCTTACAGATTATTGCTCGGAGTAAATTAGATTTATTAATTAATTATAGTTTGCACTGATTATTGCACTGAATTACTTGCTTACCGGCGAATAAGAGAATCTTCGCGCATTTGGTTCTACCTTGAAGGGCGGCTTTCATGAGCGGTGTGAAGCCCAAGGTATTTCTAGCGTCTACTTCGATATCCGGACATCTCTCCAGAAGGATGTTGAGGCATTCGGTCTGTCCTGTCCACAGATACGTAACAGAGACCATGTACTGACATCATCGATACTGATTTTATTCGCGTGCAAGATCTCATATATTTCATAACTCGTGATGTTTTGGCTCGGAACGTTTTTCAGCACGCGTCATCACATAGCTGCGCGTTTGTTGCAAGAGGCGCTTCGATGTTCTTCGCTATTTTCGGCGATTGTGTTACGCGATGGGATCCCCGTGTCGGTGCAAAAAATTCGCCGGCAGATTTGGTATTAGGCATATTTTCAGTATTTTCCAATGGCTCTTATCGCTATTCCCACATTATCTCCATTCACAAAAAATATAATGGGATCTTAGAGACAGACAAGAGATTACTTGATTTAACGTCGATTAAATAAGCCGTTTCTCTTTTCTAACTATACTTTCCGTACATTTTTAAAAATTAATATATTATATTTTTCTATGCTGTATTAAAAGAATATGTATAATAAAAAAATTAGCATTACGAAATGAAAAGAAAAGGTACGGATTTAATAATCATTTACTTCTAATATGGCTGTTTGTTATTTTCTCACTTTATTTGAGCCTTTAAACGCCATGAGTTATAAACTTAAATAAGTATCTCTTGAACTTTATCCTGTTATTTTTTATGTTCATGATTGATCCGCGAGTATGATGGATGCATATAGTTATTTTGCCATTGGCAACTTACTAAGGGGGGATGATTATGAGATGAAAAAAAACAGAAATAAATATCAATGTAAATTATGTTCTAAATCATTCCCGGATAAACATATTTTTAAAATTCCTACAAAAATTATAACATAGTTTAACTACAAAAATTTTAATTCCTATTCATCGCTACGTTTACGCCATAAGATTGATGCAACATTTATTCTTGTCACTCATTTTCTCTATGAATAAACGCGGTCATCCTACTCTCGCATCTCGCCAGGAACATTGGTTATAAATTGCCAAAGATGATAGTCTGAATTCCGGAAAAAGAGAGAAAGAAGTGTAAGAGTGTAAAAAATGTCTCTTTAAACTATTTCTAGAGATGTTTGAAATTATTTGTAGAGATGTTAAGTATTCAAATACGAATCAAATGAAATCAGATAATCTCCATAATTTAAATCTCAACTCGAAAATTTCGAATCTAAAAAATATGAATATGAATATATTGACAATCTTATAAAATCATGTTTCTAGTTAATAAGTAAAATAATACAGTATATGTATAATCAATATTTTTTACATTTAGATATGTTTTAATTATCTATATATTAAAATTCAATTTAATAATAATTATGTTATTAATTAAAAGTTATGTTTTAACGATTCGGTTTAATTAGATTCGGATATATCGATTTGATTCAATTCGGATTCGAGCAAAGAAATGAAATGAAATTCAATTCTAAACAATCATTAAATTAAAACATTTAAGATCTGCTTCTTGAACGAAAATAGGAATTCTTTATACTTAATGAGAACAATTGAATTCTATTCGGTGTCCAAAAAGATTCGCATATCTTTAAATATTCTACTACTCAAACGGTGTCTAAGGTACTTTAATATCTCACTGTATTTGCAACAATATTATTATATTTAATCATATGATTCCATCAAATATTCTTAAAATCGAATTCTGGAAAATTGCAGGATCAAACGGATTGATTTCCGCAATACGTCAATGACATTTTCCCGGTATCTCGTATACGTTTCACGTAATTACAGTAACTTGATATTCAAATGATATAATCGATCACTCACCAGCCTGAGCGGCAAAATGGAGTGGTGTATTACCCTCATTGTCAGGCAAATTCGGGTCCACACCTTCAAAAGAGAGCGCCAGCTCAAGCATCGCCGCTGCACCGTTCCCAGCCATGTAACTTATGGCCGTCTGCAATGGTAAACAAATAATCCTCAAGTTAGTTTGAGTTAAAAGCACGATTATGTAAACTCGTGTTTCGAGCGGGAAACATTATTCATCCCTCCACCCTCTCCTCCCTCCCCCCCACATCAATGTCTCTTGTACGACATTTGACTATGACATGAAAATCCACGCAATTCCATGACACACATTCGCAAATTTAATTCGCTAAATCGACACTGACTAAACATGGAATGACTAAACACGAATTTTAATTTTACATGGAAAGAATGATTTTGCTGAAACATCTAATTTAGCTAGATCGGAAAATAATTTTATTAGACTAAAATTATTATATACGAAATTATTATATAATTATATAAGAAATTCAAGATTGATATATAAGATTGATATATAAGATTGATATATAAGAAATTCAAGATTGGGCAAGAAGTATAATAAAAAAATATTTTGCAATTGTTAAACTAGTTTTTGTTAAAATTTTTGTGTTGAATCTTCGATTATTCGAGTTTCAAGTTTAGTTTTTAATATTAAAATAGCACAATTTATGAATAAAAATATAAAACAAATAATATTAAAGTGATATATTTTGATAAGTAAATTCTAAGACAAATAAATAATATATTCTAATTTAACAATAATATATGCTAATTTATAAATATTAATTTCCCTAAAAAAAAATGCTCTCATAATTTGCTTACAAATTGTGGATGTGTTACATTTTATGTACTAATTTTTTACATAATATTTGCATTACTTTTTAAATATTCATTTTGTATTAAATTAATATAAAAATTTGGGTGGATCATTTGAGACACATGAAATGTATTAAAATATTATATAAACACAAATTTTCCAATTGTGTGTTGCAAAAAGTTTTAATATTTTAGCTTGAGCGTTCTATATAATTATTTTAATAGTCCAATAAAAATTATTTAGCTAAATTTTAAGATAACTTCAAATCGTTTTTTATCATATAGGATTTGCTAATTTTCATCTTAAACTAACTAGATAAAAAATTGTTCCGATCGAGGAAATGATCTTCTTCTTATTGAATCGCTATAATATATCCCTTATATGAATTGTTAATCGGATTTATCTTTGAATACCACGCTTCGCCTATTGTTATTACACTCGACTGACGTGTAAATATGTTGAAAAGGGAATGAATATCGTGTTTTATATCGCGATTGTTGAGAAGTACATATGACACCTCGTAGGAAGACGTTCTCATTCTGCCATTGTTTGCTGCCTCCACAGACACCGAGATGCACAATGGACTATCCGTTAAGAATCAATTTATTAAGTGGCTATTGACGTTTGAACGTTATTGCTTTACTTGCGTCAGCATGCGCCGGTATACAAACAGGCGTTGAAACACGAACTACGCCAACAAACGCTCGGAAGAAGACACGTTTGCCTTGAAGACGACGCGCGAATTGTAAATCGGTAAACACAACGAGTTCTATTTTGTTCGTTTTAAATGAAACAGAACACATGGTTTAAACACTTATTTCACATTTTCCTCAATAAAATGTTTGAGGTAAATCAGAATATTTTTATATTCTTGCAAATTGTATGCTTTGTTAACGTCAATAATACTAAATATAATAGAAAAATAAAATTAAAAATAAGTACAAATATAATAATAATATTTTGTACCGAGTTTTGTCATCATTTATGGTTTGTCTAAGTAATTCAAATTTAATTTGAACTATTAAAGATTAAAATTCAAATTTGACATATTAAAGATTAAATCGAAAAATGTTATTTAATTCTGTTACTACTCGAGTGA